GGTTCCGGATGAGCTTTTGCATATGCATTTTTGATGTATTTTCATTGTGTTCCAGTGCGTTGTTTCTCCACCTTCTTTTATTTAGCCACTTGAAAACTATCTTCATTCAGGACAAAAAGCAGAAATAAAGTTTGCAACAAATACAATTTTGTATTACATCAATTTAACTATAATTATAAATCAGTGAATACCACATTCACCAGTTATTCACAGTAATCCTCCTGGTGAATGCATTTTAATGTAGAATGACTAACCTGCAGTGTTTGGTGAAGGTCACTTTCACGGTTTTGGGTAAAATCAATATAAACTAATGCAAAGAACGGCTGTAATGTTAACATTTCAGTTTACTGTAGTCACACAAAAGGAGATATGATGCATTGTTGTGATATACAACTGCAACACTCTATATTCAACAACTGCTCTTTGCAGAACTTGTCCACATGGTCTTCTGGGTGCCATTCTGTTCATGTTCTGGTTGCTCCCCCAGTGGGGTGGCCATTAGGGGAGCAACTGCCCAGTGAATACAAAAAGTGATCTCACCCAGTAAACGTCTGAAACGCATGATGGGTGGTACATTAACCTATTGCGCTAATAAGCCATCAGGGGAAATTCTGCTGCGTTGTCAGAAGATAATAGCTGTATGACCCATTTTCTTATGGTAGGCTAGGAAAATCTAATATAACAGCCTCTCATTCAACAGGATCATTAAGAGTAAATTACATTATGCTGCCAATCTTTCTCCATTTGAAACAGTGAGACATGATTAATCACCTACTGCTGCCTTGAATGCATGCATTGTTTTAGGTATGTCTGCCTTAGAAAAAGTGAACTACTGACAGTGAATACATTGTGGCATGGATGTGATGGGTCACTAAACATGCACTGCCCATCCCACTGCATTGACAGTAGACGAGTTTAGCATGCTTCCCTGACATTATTGCAGTGATGGTGACCCAATGCAAAAAAGAGCCAAGTGATCAATTGCAAAGCATTACACATCAGGAAGTTAGACCTGAAAGAAGGGTTCTTTAGTGTTAGTTTAACTCTGTTTTAGGTGCATGTAAGACCTAAAAGCACAGTGTATACATTCCCCAAATCCTCTTATTCTGGTCATGGAACACCCTTTCAAACAGAAAGTAAGATTATTCACAGGCAGTAAACTATGCTCCCTTCCTCTAAACCAGTGATGCTGGTCTTTATCTGGCCCTTGGGGCACTATTCCTCTTGCTGACACCAACAAGGAGGCACCATTACTTCTACTGACACCAACACTGGGGAGCCATTCTTGCTGAAACCAACGATGGGGGGCATTTTTCTTTCACTGACACCAATAATAAGACACTATTCCTCCCACTAATCCCAATGATGGGGCACTATTCCTCCCACTGAGGCCAATGATGGGGCACTATTCCTCCCACTGAGGCCAATGATGGGGCACTATTCCTCCCACTGAGGCCAATGATGGGGCACTATTCCTCCCACTGATCCCAATGATGGGGCACTATTCCTCCCACTGATCCCAATGATGGGGCACTATTCCTCCCACTAATCCCAATGATGGGGCACTATTCCTCCCACTAATCCCAATGATGGGGCACTATTCCTCCTCCTACTAACAACAGGCACTAGGTTATTTTTTTTTTTTTTTACTCACACTGGCATTTTCTACTCCCGCTGGCCACGCTGGCCCCTCTCAAGTCTGAAGAACAGTAAACTGGCCCTTTGGTTTAAAAGTTTGGAGGCCCTCTGCTCTAAACAAATGTCTTTAGTGCTGACACCTGCCATAATTCTCACGGAGATAAATGTGCAGAAATTAGATTTTTCCCTCTTCTTCGTAGCAATCAACTTCAGGTGAGAATTACAGCAGTTAATCCAGGTCTGCCTCCACTTTATCAACATGGAAAAGTGATGTATACAAATGAGCGCCTCTTATTTTGACATTTATTTTCCCTCTCAAGAAGGTCAAATGATTTTGGTAAGCAATAATCAAAATTGAGAGCATCACTTGCTGTTGAACAAATTGATAATTTTAAAATGATATTGTTTAGCTACATTAGGATTAGAGCTGCTGTCTGCATTGTTTTCATATAACAAAGAATTGATTTTCTTATGATACAGCCATATATTATCTGTCAACATGCTATCTGCAGTAGTGATAGAAGCCCCAACTGGACACAGTGTATTGGTATAAGTTTGCAAAGTAGGAAATCAAAAGTAAAATCATGTTATAGAATATAAGGTTTATGTAGCTCAAAGACCGTGTACTTGTAAGTATTGAAGGTATAGCTTTACAGCCAAACGCAGTGATAGGAAGTGCCCTCATGCATCAACCACAGGATGATTACAAGCTGAGCACCAATGTACCCCGCAGATGTACAATGTACCCTATACCAAGCAAAATACAGTCCTTTAATGAAACACTAAATCAGTTACTGACTTGGTTTAGTTTACACAGGCTTCAGCTTGTATAATGGCAGTGTGAATAGCAAGCTTCCAGTAGCTTTCCTAAAGCCTTTAACTGCCTCCCACCCAGCCTATACTAAATAAAATGGCTGAGTGGGAGTTTTCTTATCATGACAACCTCCTAGCTGCAAACGCTCTAGCGGCCATGTTTGGGCTTGATCTGTCACCCGCTGTGTCTGGTGACAAGACCCTTGTACCGGGCTGCCCCAGTACCATGTGATCACTGTGACCAATTACAGCAATCCCATGTCAGTTGTACACAATGAATGGCTTTCATTTATAGCCATTTGTTGTGTACTATTGACATGATCTCTGTGATTGGCCACAGTGATCACATGATACAGACAGGGTCAATCACCGCGCACCTGTACCATGTGATAGCTGTGAACACTCATAGCTATCCTATCAGAATGGTACATAATTACAATGATTAGATGCCACTCATAAAAATTATTGCTTTTCAGTGTGATAAGCAATCATAGTGTAAAAAAAAAAATATCCTGATCACCTTATCAGAATAGTACAGGGTCACTATGGTAACAATATACTGCTATGGCCAAAGTATGTAAAAACATAGTAAAAGTTTAAAAAAAATGTTTAAATTGTCACCAGTCAGTATCCTTGATCACCACCACACCAGTCATATGATGACGCTGTACTGCTCTGGTGACAGTATGTAAAACCAATGTATATAATTTTTTAATTTTCCCCCCAAAAAAAGGTGACAAAACAAACAAAAAAAACCTCACCATGCCTCTTATTAAATACCTCTGACTGTCTACTTTCCATTCATTTGGGGGGTATTTGTACTGTCCTGGCATTTTATGGCTTCAAGAAAAGAGAAAATTAGCCTGTCAATACATTAGGACTGATCAATTTCCAAATATATAAATATACCATAGCTTGTAGACGCTATAACTTTCACACAGACTAAATAATATACACTGATTTGGGTTATTTTGTTACCACAGAAATGTAGCAGAACACACTTTGGCCTAAATATATGAAGACAGATTATATACAAAAAAATTAAACAAAAAATACTGAATATTTTGAAGAAACCAAAAACAGATGTTTCTTAGTTTCCGTATAAAAAGTTTGCAAATTAATAAAGGGCCCAGAAAACTCTGTCTCAAAAAATTATAAAAATGTTATTTGGATACAGTGTTGCATGCCTGAGTATTTGTCATTTAAAGTTCGATAGCGCTGAATTCTGGAAAATGGCCTGGGCAGACGGGGGTGAAGGTGTCTAGTATTGAAGTGGTTAAAGCACCCTTCAGCACCTGTTTGGAGGAGTTAAAACAGATCTTAAAAGGAATGCTTACAGTCACTTTAAACAAGTTGCTAGCAGGCTTCAGTAGGTTTTAAATAAGCTTCAAGTTGTGCTGCAGCTTACTGAAGCCTGCTAGCAACTTGATTAAAGTATCCGTTAGCACTCCCATGAGGATCGGTGTTTAACAGTCTCAAACTGGAGCTGGATGGTACTTTAGAGCATCAACAAAGTTTACTGAAAGATCTGAAAATGCTTTCCAAGGCCTCTTTCACGGGACTGCTCCAATCAGGTCGGCTTGTCAGTTTTTCAGGTGGACCTGATCGGACCATCCATTAACTCCTATTGACAGGTGGGTGTAAAAGTACTATTGTCCATTTACACCTGCCTATTTCCTATCTGATCCAGTCCACTAAAAACAAACGGAAGGCCATCCTGTCCTCCTCCATCTAGACCACGGGTGTCAAACTGGCGGCCTTCCAGCTGTTGCGGAACTACGAGTCCCCTGAGCCATTACAAGGCTGACAGTTACAAGCATGAATCCCACAGGCAGAGGCACGATGGAACTTGTAGTTCAACAGCTGGAGGGCCGCTAGTTTGACACCCCTGGTCTAGACAGATCAGAGGGAAGTCGAGTGTAAAACAGACAGCGGAGTCCATTTACACCCAGCTGCCCATAGAGCACAGTGGGCTCTGTCTGTGTATGCTCTGCATCAACTGAGCGGACATGGATCTGTCATACACTCACTCTGCTCTGATCAGCAAGGGATCTGTGTCCATCCTGTGTGAAAGGGGACTAAAAGCTCAATGTTCACACTGTCCTTTACAAGCTGAAGCCTATGAGAACTAGGCCTTAAGGAGTCTCACACACCTGTTACCACTTATGTATGGAAGACTTTACCCATACAAAGTATTAAAATGTAAAATCTTAGTTTTAGTTAATACATAATTCAGTTTAAATCGTACTGTTTCTATAGTGTAGGAATTTTAAAACGCAACTATTTACTATGTTTATTTAGTTGTATTTTCTAAAACAATCATTTTGTCCAACATTACATGCTATAAAATGTATTATATAATTTTAAGACATTATTAGATTATAGTAAAATAGAGAAATGCAGAAAAATACTATTTTAGCAAGTTTAAACCAAAAAATATACCAAATGTGGTATAGTATTTCAAGTATTTAGAAACAATGTTTGCAGTCTTTCAGTTTTTGTGTTCCTTATTCAGTGTGCTTTTCATATGTTAATTTCTTCTTGGATTCTTAAGAGTAAATAGTGATTACTTCTCTTCCACCTCCACGTACAAGAAGCACTTTGTTTAAACCTTCTGTCAAAACCTCTAAGAATTCCATATCTGACAAGGTGTTAAGGTAAACCATTCAAAACAGAAAGAAAATAGTCAATTGGTCTTTGCCGGTTTTTCAAAAATGTTTAATTTGGTTTTTTTTTCAAACATCAGCGCTGTAGAAGCTATACAAAGAGATAGGCCTGTATTACAAATATTTGCATCTTGTACCGTTTCAATGCCAAACTTTGAAAATTTTGCAGCTTTATAAATGTGAAACATTTTAGCAAAATTAAATAAAAATGGGGTAAAATCCTGAATTTTAAAAAAGTGTAGAGCTGACATCTTGCTTAACAAATCTTGTGTACCTACTTTTAAATAGGACAAATGCTTAAACTGAAAACAAGCAAATGTACTTTGGAAAAACCAAAAAAAAAACAAAAAAAAAAAAAAAAAAAACAGAAAGCAGTCAATTTGCAAATAAGTTTTCTGCCTCAGAGCACACAAGTTACTTTGAGAGGAGCTGCACCCAAAAGAGGAAGTTCTGCATTAAGGACTCGTCCCCTGCTCCCCGTTAATAATTGAGCGGTTACCCGATTTTGACAGGTACCATACCCACTTCACCTCCGACTGTCTAGGCAAACACAAGCGGAAGTTCTCCCCCCAATCTTCTGAGACACGTGACAGGTCCCAGGAGACTGTGAGACCATTCACAAGCGTAGTGGGCACCTGGCTATGAAGCCAAGCCATAAGCGGTCACATCCGGTACCCACACTTAAAAAGCCGATGCCGGGGACAGAGGACTGCTGGTGAACATGGCTGGATCGAGGGACAGGTGAGTGGCTGTTTTTGTAAGTCAGCAGATACAGTTTTTGTTGCTGCTGACCTTTTTTTTTTTTACATGAGACTGAAGCTCACCTTTAAAAGTAACTTTTTGGAAAGTTACCTTTTTTAGGAAGCTCTTTAAAAAGAGAAGTACAACCAAAGCTCTATTGGCTGTACCTCTCCTGTAGATCACAGGAGTGCAGTTTGTTCTGCACTCCTGTGACCAGTTTTTAGCTGACAGCGGGTTGAAGCTCCCTGTCGGCTGACATCACTCAGCTGGTTCAGGCTGGGGAAAGATCCCGACTTTAAAATCAGGATCCACCCCGTAGTCTGGAATGACACCTGGCTCAGCCTCTGAGAGCATGAACCAGCCACTCCCCCCACAGCCCAGCGCTACATTGAGGAGGGGGGGCAGAGCAGAGACGGCAGTGACTGATAGTCACTGCTCTCTGCTCAGAGCTGCTGTCAAAACCTCAGCAGTCATGTGATTTCTGAATTATCAGCCTAGGTTTTGCATGGGGGCGACAATCTTTACTTCCTCTCTGAAAAGCGATCTGTTTTAATTGCCATTTAGAGCGTGGTAAAACCGTGGGTTCTAGTGTTCAGGAGTTTGATAGGAGGTGTGGCGCATCAAACTCAGCAAGATGTGTTAAATTAAACAAACCCTCATAGATCTCTGTTGCTGCAGGAACGTTGCGGTACTTCATCCTCAAGCTTCATAGCAAAGGAACTCTGGTCAGGATGTAGTTGGATTCTTGGCAGCAATACCTCAGTCTTCAGAGATTGGAGCCCGTGTTGAACTGGATAAAGGGATCTTAGAGTAAGCAGCTTTCCTGCCTAATGATGTAAACACTGTGTACCTGCTCTGTGTATGATACCAATCATCCAAATGCTCTGAGGAAGGGAGGGGGTGCTTCCTGTAACCCAGGCAAGGTCCAATTTCAGCACTTCAGAACCAGATGCACTAGTTAGGAGCATCAACAGGTACCTATAGTCACAGTAGAGAGACCAGCGGACAACCTGCACGTGTCACAGAGTGGGCTTGCACACAGCTGACAAAATACAAGACCAAGCATACTATGTTGACACTGAAGGATCCCTTCAGTGTCAACATAGTATCTGCTGTTTTATTTTTGCTGATGTCAGACATGTTCCCAAAAATAGGGAACAGTTTTATTGGAGGGGTTTCTTTAGTGCCACTGCAACCTGGGCCCCTGGTATAGCAAAGGGGTACAATGGTTAAAAAGGAAAACTTGGGCCCTTGGTAGTACTCCATAAAACAATTAGTGGTCAGTAGATGGTGCTTGAGGATAAATCCCTCAAACTTGTGTCCCCATTCGGTGCAATGTAGAGCAGACAGTGCTGAGCTGTAGAGAAGAGATCCACAAAGCCAAATAAAGCTATGGCATTGTCCAACTGGATTATGGTCAGACAAAGCCCAGCATTGAAGAGATAATCAAATTGCCCTGAGTTCCAGGATGTTGATGGGAACACGAGTTTCTTCCAACAACCAAGTCCCCTGTACCGAGAGGGCATCCATGTCTCTTTCCTTGTCTTTCCATGTTTTTGGGGGACGGGTTTCCCCGTCTCCAGCACTGGATTGGAAATCCATCATGCCAGGGAAAGTGTGGTCTTGTATTGTAGACACATGGTGCGGTCTAAGGGCTGAGTCTGTGTCCCACACAGCCATGATGTTGAGTTGCAAAAAGTTCTAGAATGAAACTCTGCATACAGTACTGTCTCAAAAGAGGCTACCATCAGGCCTGATACGCTCAAGTAGACAAACTGAGGGCTGACCCTGGGACCAAAAGGATCCAAGCACATGAGCAGTATGTCTCGGGGTAGGAATATCCTGGATGGATGGCCCTTATATCCGATATCAGACTCCATTCGGTGATTTGGGTCCAGCGACAACTTCCAAAAGGTAAAAATCCACCTGAATCTATCTAGAGTGTGTGCACTGTTCATTGGACATTGACTGAAAGTGTTTAAGGAGGACAGAACTATCACCAGAGCAAACACCTTGGTGAAGACCCACATTGCCGTGGACAGCCAAAGGGAAAAGCAACAAATTGTTACAACTGTGGGCTCTCTGCAGAATGCATATAGCGTTGAGGATGAGGAAAATGGGGATTTGGAAGTAAGAATTCCTGATTTCTAGAGTCCGGAAGGTCCCCAGGATATAAGAAAAGCAATGACCAACCTGGCCGATTTCATCCAGAACTTTTGAGCTTGCAGGATCAAGTTGAGGACAGTGGAAAGGTTTGAGTAGAAACTCTGAAATTGTCCTCCTACTCTTGACAAGTAGGGGTACCCCTTGATAGGGAGAAGGGCTTGGACTCATACCAGGCTTGGAGGTCCACATCTTCTGGTGGAAGGGTGCACAAGGCTTAGGCTTAGACTTGAAGCTTGTAGATTAAAGAGGGGCAAAAGGAGCTTATCCTAGCCTCAGAGGATGACTGCCTACCTGCGGGAGCATGAACATACTTATTCTTGGAGAGGAGAGTACTCTTACCCCCAGTGATTGCCTTTGTTTATTTAGAACATCCTTGTACAAATACACAAAAGGGCATTCTCATGAAATGCTTCAGGCACTAGGTACAGTATACTACCATGAGAGTAGATACACATATACATATGAAGTGCTCTCCCAATACCATGTGAATAATTATCTAATACAGATGTGTGTCACATAAATCCAGTGAATTCTTCTCCACCACTACACTGAGCAATAGATGAATTTCTCATTCACCAGACGGTGTTGACCCCCGCTTGGTAAAACAACGCTAGGTAATCAAGTGGTGTGGATTCCCAACTGCAGGATCTCATACGATGAATCTCCAAGCTCCCCTTCTAATAATGGCTCACCAGAAAGCTCAAATAAAACAAATTCTCATAAAATTGCACTAAGTGAAATATTTATTAAGAACCATGGTTCAAATGATGAATAAAAATGCACTCACATATTAAGGTGCCTGTATCCTGGCACCAGTTTGTGCAGCCAATATATATGCATCAATCTCGCTGTGGAAAGCCGGCGTGCGCTCCAAGCCTTGCTTTAGCGGACCAGATGTGATGTCATGCGAGACCCAGAAGTGACAGAATCACGCTTCAATTGAAGCGTGATCCTATCACTTCCGGGTCCCACATGACCCTATCTATTTATGGTTTGTTATGCAGAGTGTTTATTCACTTAATATGAGCAGCTGCCATTACTGCCTGATTATGTCAAATTTATAATTCTGTGTTAATTTTGTTTAATTACATATTCACATTTGTTTTCACAAGTGCCACAATATTGCTTTTTTTGACTAGAGTTCTGCTAACCAACATTTGAGGTAGAGGATTCTTCTCATGTAAACAGAAAGGAGACTCATCCTTTATATCTGGCAAGGTTTATCTGCCAAACCATCCACACGTATTGTAAGGCCACAGGTAAAAGTTCCAGATGATGATGAACAAAGGGATAGGTTAAAATTAAGTTGGGGTCTCCAGACCGCAAGAGCCTGGCCTTTACAGATGATTATCACTGTAGAGTAAAAAATTAATGATGGCCCTATATTTATTGCTCTCACTGAGATATTTGTGAAAATTCCTCACATGTGATGCAATAGTTTTGTGCATTTGTATGTATGCGCAGGAGGGCCATGTGTGCTTTAAAATGTTTTTTTTAATTATTTTTATTTATATTACTTTTTTTTTCATTTAATTTTATTACTATTAAAAAAAGGGGCTAACCAGCCCCCTACATGATAGCTTTGAGCAGGTGACAAACACTTTTTGTGGAGATATCAGAGGTCTATTACAGCCTCAATGCCTTCTCTACCCTCTATAGCAGCTAATCAAGCACAGATCAATGACAGCTTTGAAACCAGAAATTATGAAATTATCTTCACCTCCTGCTTCATTAGTCTCAGAGGAAATAAGGGGGAACGGATGTTTTGCAATCCAGGCTGTTTACCATGGTCCTAGGCTCTCTGAAGTAACAACAGGGTCCAGGAACCCGGCGGGGGAACTCGTACCGCAGCAGAGGCGGACTGACAACTCATGGGACCCCAGGGCTATAGGGGATCACTCAAAAAAGCCTATGAAAAAGGTAGCAGGGGCATCTCATGGGGCCCCCTACTGACCTCAGGCCCTCGAGCAGTGCCCGAGTTTCCAAATGATCAGTCCGCCCCTGTACCGCAGTATCATAAAAACGGTCAAGCAGCCATGAGCTTGTTATAACCACTTGCTGACAGGATGTACAGGGGTTGACAAAAATATGGAAATACTACATGATTTGCAGGCGTGAAAGTGACAACATGTTTTACATTGAAAGCAGAAGTGATGTAACATTCTTTTGCTTCCACTGTGTGATGAAACACCTAGCTAACAGGTCGGAAGCCTCACATTCATCATTCATTGCGTGCGCTGCTAGTAATACGGAGTCATGTCAGAGCTTACGGAGTTTCAAAGAGGGCAAATTGTTGGGGTTCCTTTAGCTGATGCCCCTGTGACTTAAGTTGCCAATTTATTTGCAGTGTCAAGTGGTATAGTATCAAAGGTTATGACAGCATATACAGTTTACAGGAAAACTTTGTCCTATAAACATAAGTGCGGTCGACATGGTCAACTGACCAAAAGAGACAAAAAAGGACATTTCGTAGGATTGTGACCCAGAATAAGAAAACACCTGCTTCAAAAGTGCCTGCAAAGCTCAAACAGTCTTCCAAAGCCAGTGTCCACAAAAACTGTGCAGAAAGAACTCCATAAGCAAAACATTAATGGGAGAGCTGCAACTGCCAAACCACTAGTGACCGATATTATTGCTCAGATAAGTGCAGTGTGGCTCAACACCCACAAATTGTGGACTATAGATCAATGGAAGACTGTAATATGGTCTGCTAAATCGAGCTTCACACTGTTCCCAACCACAGAACGTGTTTACATGTGGTGAACACCATTCCAAGATTACAACCAGGACTGCCTTCTCAGTCTTCCAAAGCCCATGATCACAAAAACTGTGTGGAGGGAAGTCCATAAGCAAAACGTTCCTGGGAGAGCTGCAATTGCCAAACCACCACATGATAATATTAGTGCTCAGTAGAGGAGAGAGTGGTGTAATGCCTATAAATCATGGCCTATTGATCAATGGAAGATTGTACTATGGTCCGATGAACTCAAGCTTCACACTGTTCCCAACCACCGGACATGTTTACATGTGGCAAACATTGTGTCATGCTTATGACAAGGACTGCCTTGTGCCAACAGAAAAGCATTGGTGGCAGCACAATCATGGTTTGGGCAACCATATCTTGGTATCCTGCAGGCCCCATCATCACCTTGAAAGGTAGAGTTACTGCCAGCAACTATAAACAAATTTTGACTGACCATGTGCACCACATGGTTTCCCAAAGACCAAGCCGATAATGCTCCGATTCACACAGCTAGTGTTGTCAAATCGTGGTTTGACGAACATGTAGGGCGTCACAGTCGCCGGACCTCAATATCATAGAGCCACTATGGTCAAGGAGAACTGAAACGATTTTTGCATGAAGAGTGATACCAGATTCCATTATCCACCATTCAAGACTAACACTCACCAGGCCACTTTATTAGTTACACCTGTTCAATTGCTTGATAACACAAATTGCTAATCAGCCAGTCATATGGAAGCAACTCAATGCATTTAGGAATCTAGACGTGGTGCAGACGACTTTCTGAAGTTCAAACTGAGCATTAGAATGGGTTAGAAAGGGGATTTAAGTGACTTTGAACTTGGCATAGTTGTTGGTGCCAAACGGGCTGGCCTGAGTATTTAAAAAACTGCTGATCTACTGGGATGTTCACATACAACCATCTCTAGTTTTATAGAGAATAGTCCGAAAAAGAGAATATATCCAGTGAGTGGCAGTTGTGTGGACAAAAGTGACTTGTTTGATGTCAGAGGAGAAGGGGCAGACTGGTTCAAGATTATAGAAAGGAAACAGTAACTCAAAATAACCACACGTCGTTACACCCAAGGTATGCAGAATACCATCTCGGAACACACGTCAAACCTTGAAAACAAATGGGCTACAGCAGGGGACAACACCGGGAGCCACTACTGTCAACTTACAATTCACACAGGCTTACCATAATTGGACAACAGAAGATTGGAAAAATGTTGCCTGGTCTGATGAATTTTGATTTCCCTACAGATGGTTAGCATGAAAATCCCAGTAGATCAGCAGTTTTTGAAACATGGTTGTTTGTGAGCCCATCTGACACAAACAACCATGTCACATTAAAAGTCACTTAAATCTCCTTTCTTCCCCATTTGTCTCAAATTGTCTTCACCAAGTCTAGATGGCTAAATGCATTGCGTTGCGGACATGTAACAGGATGATTAGCAATTTGTATTTCCAAACAATTGAACAGGTGTACCTAATAAAGTGGTCGTGAGTGTAGATTTGTCAATTGCCAGGAGAATCCCTGGGGCAGTCCAACACCATATTAGGTAATGATTATGTTCTTTTCCCTGTGGTTACACAATTTTGTCCACCCCAGTCTTGGATGCCAAGGGCAGTCCAACACCATATTAGGTAATGATTTTGTTTTTTTCCCTGGGGTTTCCATAACTTTGTCCACCCCTGTATACTGTACATTTGGCAAATCAGCAAGTGGTTAAGGACACCTGAAGCTGGCATCAGATGAAAATCCACCAGACAAAACTTATGAACAGAAGACCAGGTATCAGCTCTGCAAATCTGGGAAACAGTTTCTTGATACAGAATAGCCCAAGAGGCACTCACAGATCTAGTAGAGTAAAGCTTTAACAGGGAATAGTGGAACCCCATCCTTAAGGTCATAAGCTTGAGCAATGATTTTTCTGAGCCAACAACAAATAGTGAAAAAAGTAGCTGATTTCCTGTTGCAGGGACTATCAGGAATGAGCAACAAAAGAATCTGTCTAATGAACGCAGTGGCCGAAAAAACCACATCCAGGCAGTGAAAGGAAAATTTCCTTTTGATGTACTGGAGCTGGACAGAGAGATTGAGGAACAAGGTGTTGGCTGAGGTGGAAGATTTAAACCATCTTATCAAAGAAGGAGGCTGTAGGCCTCAATGCTACGCAATCCTTGTGTAAGGTTAGATAAGGTTCTTTACAAGACAAGCCTGCCTTCTCAGAAACATGCCTTGCAGAGAAGATGGTAACAGGTAAAGCACCCTGGTGGGTGAATGCAGATAGAAGATTTTCCTTGATGGGTTCAGAAGGTGGTTTTGAAGTGCTGACAGAACCAGATTCTAAATCCACAGAGTCACAGGGTGCTGCACAGAAGGAGCCATGTGAGACACCCCATGTATTAAAAAAAAGTCCTGATCAATGAATGGGAGGATAGTGGTCTTTGGGAATAAGTTTGCAAGCTCTGTTCACATCAGGCGAAGTAAGGTGTGGGAAAATACAAACAAATGGCAACCACCCCAACCTATAACTGGCCTTTGCAGCAAGGAGCACACAGGAGGGTGATGCTTGTCAAAAAACTAAAATTCCCAGCTAACTTACCAGCAAGCCAGCAACAAACTGAATTGTCCTGACTAACAGTTCATGTTAAAACCAGGGGTTTAGTTTGTACACATTTGCAAATATATGCGAAAGCCGCACCTCAAAGCACCCTAGTGTGTTGCAGTCCTAACTCTATGAATTTTGAGAGTCTCCAAAGTTGGAGCACATATCTAATAACGTATAGATTAAGGGCAGGTGTGTCTGGAGGGAGCCCACCCCTTCTTAAAAGGTATAGGGACACACTGGACACCAGAAAAAAAGCACAATGGCAGCAAAGGTATGCAGTGCGTCCATTCACCAATTAAACAACATTTGTTTTTTTTTACATGCGTTGCCCTTTCATATGCTCCTTGCTGCAAAGGCCAGTTATAGGTTGGGGTGGTTGCCATTAGTTTGTATTGTTGGCTTGTTGGCTCAGCTTTGCCCCCCGCTCTCCTCAAAGCTTGACAGCAACAGGACCAACAGCTCCTGCTGCTGCCTCAATGGAAAACGAGGAGAGAGAAAGAAAAGAACTGTTGCTCTCATGCAGAATCGAGATCTGGCAAGAAATGGAGGAAGAAACTGAACCAGTTTTATAGCAAATCTTTAGAAGTGTCACATACCTTTAAATATCTCAATGAAAGGATACAGTTTTCATCACCTTGTTTACTCTTAGGTGGTCCTGGCATATTCAGTAAAACCAGCTGTGCATGCTGAGATCTATTACGAACAACTTCATTCAGCTTTACAGCAGTGTGCATTCTCCTAACATTTGATTGATTTCTGCAAAACAGTTTAATGACAATAAGCATTGCAATTCACACACAATTTGTATATTGTGTGCAACACAACTGAGAAGTGTTTAACCAAATCATAATGTTCATAGGGTAGTAGATGCTACTAATGTTGCTTCACAATGTGCACAAGAAAATGCATGTGTTTACACAAGGTTTAGGTTATCAAAATGAAACACCCAAATTATTGTAGACTGAAACACAGTCTGTAGTTTAACTTACAGATTCTCCCATTCCCTGCAAGCAAAGAAAAAAAAGAGAAAGAGAAATAAGGTGTACAATATTTATTGGAGCTGCATTCAGATTTATATTCTCACTTTTATCTGTGTATGACAACTACGGTTTCCAGAAGGTACTGGCAATGGCAGCTCCCATATTTCCCTTGTGACCAGTTTTTGCAAAAATGATGAACTATCTTATACTATATCTTACTTGGGAGCACTGGGAGCTATAAACTAAGCAGCATCATTCCAGATCAAGCAGCAGGGTGCAAAAGTAAACATAATATTGGGATATACGAATAAAGAGATAGAAAACAGTGATTCAAGTACAGTATTGCTTTTATACAAATCTAGAGCATGGGACCCATTTTGGGTACCACACTGTAAAAAGGACATTCTGGAGAGGGTTCAAAAAGGTAGGTAACTAAATTATTAGAATCAATGGAAAATCTTACGTATAATGAAATATTGTGTTCAGTCTGGGGGAAAAAAAATGACAAAAGTTGGAATTTATCCAAAGCCAGTATAAAGATTTGGTAAATTAAAGTTTTCTCCAAGGCCTGAAAAAGCACAAGGGGACAAAACTTGTTGAAAAAAAGTGAATATTTCATCATCAGTTTAGGAAGAGATTCTTAAAGAAATACTGGTCAATATGTGGAGTTTGATTTACAATAGTGTTGGTGCTCACCCAAAATGGAAAACTGCAAGTCTTACAATGCATCAATACTGTACAAAACCATAATTCCTGCAACTTGCCTCATTCATATGCTAACATTGCACAGAGAATATGCTACTCAATGCTGGCAACTTCCCATATTCATATACTGCACATAATCAAGTCAAAGGTTCTACTATTTAAAACTCTGTTTTCCGCATTCTTCTGTGATGCTTTACCCCATAGGAAAGTAATGGCAGCATTAAAATAAATTTAAAGGAAACACTGCATGAGTTTGCATCCTAACAGGCTGCTCTCATGTTTGTATATGTTTTGTCTCATGTTAAAAACCTTCTAAGAGAATATTTTGTGAATTACCTTTTCATTTTGAAAAAATGTGAAGATTATTCAGTATTTTTATCTTTATCTGGAACAAGAATGCGATGTCTGATCTTCAAAAAAATGCTCGTCGATTGTGCGCCTGGGGGCTATTTAAGTCATGCACTGTGATGGCATCAGTATGAGGGGGGTTCCTTTGAGAACGTGCATGTGCACAAAACGTGTCAAGGAGGAGCCTACGTGCTAACGTCACGCCGAGTCCATGCGATGGTCCGGCGGCCATCTTTATGAGTGGTTGTTGTTTTATGCTCCATGTGGCTGCATTGTTATTTTAATAAAAATTACAATATATGCTGCTGTCTTTGGGCTCTGTTTTGTGTGCTCCTTTTCAGGATGTGCCACATTTGGATCGATTGCTGATCGCTGTACTGGAGGTCTATTTCCAGGAATGCCAATTTCACAGTTGAGGTCATTGGGGTATCTTTCCATTTCCTGTAGTGGATAAGACACATCGCTTGGAGGGATTTCCATACAGAGCCTGTTTATTTCTTGCTTCTGGTGAGTGCATAGTGGTGGGGGATTGTCACAGATGTCACTTCACAATGCTGATCACCATTGATTTACACATTGTTGGATTCTGTCATTTCTTTTGGACTTTATGATTTAGATATTGGATATTAGTTCACATATCATTTTTGTTTATATATTAGCGCTGCACCTTTGTATACTGTGTTTATTCAGTGGAATAGGAGGGTTTGCCACTATGTGCCAGCTGCTTGTTCATTTCTTTGCGCTCATTACACTTTTTTTTTGCCACTTATAAAGTTTAAGGTGTTTAAAGTCAATTTGCCTACAAGTTATATTACTAAGTGTGGAGCCCGGTGGGCTGCGTCAGTCCCGACGTCTTGTACATCTTGGATTATGAAAGATTCATAGTGGGAGCTGTCTATTTCCTGTGAGTGTCCTGGCACCACAAGCAGCTTTCTCTCTAACATTACACACAAATCTGGTGGATTCTGCATGGAAACCAATCAGCTTCCAGGTTTTATTGCCAAAGCTTTATGGAAGAAGCTAGGCGATCCAAGCAGAAGTTCTACTACCCCCTCCCTCCCCACAGTCTTCTGGGCCTCAGCACAGGTCCCAGAAGGTTGCAGGACCAATCACAGTACGCAGCGTGGCTCATGCATGCTCAGTGGGCACCTGGCTGTGAAGCCGCAAGCTGTCACAACCGGGTGCCCACATCTAAAATGCTGGCGCCGGGTACAGGTAAGTGTCTGTATATTAAAAGTCAGCAGCTAACGTTTTTGTAGCTGCTGACTTTAAATTTTTACAAAAATGACTGGAGCTCGGAGCTCAAAATTTAAGTTAGAAGTTGATTGGCAACCATGCACTGCTGCATCAGATTATGAGTGCACCGAATTTAGTAAATCTTCACCAGTGTTTATTTATGCAAAGGATTAATATTGCAATTTTGTTACAGTGGGAGCTTAGGAGCAGGACAGAAAAAGTCTTGAATATGGTGATAGGAGGAGACCACCTTGGACTGAAAAAAAGTCTTAGGTCTCAAGACAACCTTATCAATGTGTAACACCAGAAGTGTTCCTTACAAGATACTGTTGTAGCAGAAGTGAGACAACAAGCAATGAAAAAAGAAAAAAAAAAAAAATCACTTTAAAAGTGCGTTCAGCCAAGAAAATATACTGGAGAGTATTAAAAGGGAGGCTTTTGAAAAGCCATCATTACTAGATTAAGATCCCATAGCATCACCAGACGGCATCAAGGTGGAGCTAAATAAGCAACTCCCTGCACAAATGCATTTACCAGAGAATGAGAGCCCAGAGGATGATGGAAGGAGATATCCTAAGACTAAATCTGTCCCCTGAAAAGGTACTCAAGCTCCGATGTCAATCTAGACCCGACTGGAGAAAGGCCGGGCCAAGGTACGTTCAACAGAGTTTCATCTAGAGTGAAACTCTTAGCTCGCAACAGGCAAAATAAACCTTCCAGGTGCAATATATTTTGCAAGAAGTAAACTTCCGAGAATGAAGATGATTTGGTATAACCAAATCTGATAAGCGTCTGTTTATTGGGATATAGGCTTCAACAGCCAATCCATCAAAGCCAGCCACCAGAAGAGGTCAAGGGGAATCTGCAAGAAGCCAGAGTACGCTCAAGTACCAGTTTGGTGCTACAAGAATTACCAGAATGTCCTTAGACTCAATCCTGTGAAGTATCCATGGAAGAAGCTTTACTAGAGGAAAAGGACAGATCATGCAAAACTGATCACACAGTCTCCAGAGCATCTACTGCAAAAATTCGAGCATCTCTGGAGCTGGCCATGAACCTGTTCAATCTGCTGTTGAACTGAGATACTAACAGGTCCACATTTGGAGTCCCACAGCAGTGACCAAGGTCCTAGAAAACGTCCAGGTGAAGGGACCACTCTCCTTGAACTAGATAGATAAGCCAGTCTGCAAATTTTCTATGTCTGGAATGTGTACAGTGTTCAGGGATGGAACACAATGCTCACCAAGTTGGAATCAATTCTTCTTCTTCTTCTTTGCCACCTGACTTCTTGTGCCACTTTGATGGCTGATGTAGGCCACGGCCATGGCATTTTCTGGCTGATCCTACATTGGTCCTCGAAGCTGAAATGTCTAGTGCCGAATGAACAGTCACATGGCCAAGGGGCTTCAGAATGTTTATTGGAAGTTTGGATTCCTTCGCTGACCAGGTTTCACTAACCATCATCATTCTGACACCCGTTGTGAGAATCTGCCAAGTTAGTGGAAGAAATTACTTTCTCGACTCCAACACTGAACTGGAAATCAGGCAGAGGTAGGCTGATAGAGACAAACACATAGGATAGTCCAGAAACTAAATCTGTTTGTCCCAAGCAGACAGGATGCGGAATTGCAGAGTTCCGGAGAGAAATTGGGGATAAGGCACTGCCTTGAATGAGGCTACGATCAGTCCCAGTACCCTCATGCAAAGCGCACCGAAGGGCGATGTCTGGATTGGAGTATACCTGCTTGAAAGCGAAAAAACCTGATCTATTTGAAGGGCAGAAAGACCCAGGCCTGGAATGTGTCAGGGACCAGTCCCAAGTATTCCAGAAGATAAGTTGGATCCAGCACATATTTCTGTGGTTTGATGATCCACTTGACGTTCTGCTGAATCAGTACAGGCTGTTGGTATTCAAAGTCTGGACAAAGCAATCTTTCAATAACAGATTATCCAGGAAGCCCATGATGTGGACAGAGAGCAAAGATCCAAAACAGTGGCCAGGACTTTTATGAAGACTCAAGTAGCAGTGGATGGGCTGAACGGCAGAGCCACAAACTGAAAATGACAGTTGTCGACCACAAAATGGTAAAATCGCTGGTGCGAAGCAAAAATGGCAATGTGTAAGTACGAATTCTTGATGTTCACAGACACCAGTAGATCTCCTGCTGCAAGGAGTTCTGAAACTGAAGGAAGGCGTTCAGGCACTTCAGTTGAGGAAAGTGGATAAATAGTATGGAAACTGTAGGGTTAACTTAAAGTATTGATTTATATATAAAATAATCAGATTCCTGGGCAGGTGGCTTCTACACCCCAGAGGATCTCCAAGATCTCCTTGGCTTGTAGAGTAATGTAACAAAAATGGAAACTAAAGCAACGCACCACTGCAAAAAGGTTCAGAGACAACTATATTCCACAAAACTTCAGGGGGATAATCCAAAGTGGGCTGCCAAACCAGCTGCTGACAAGACCTGTGCTTGTATTCACACTAGAATAACATTAAATGCCCAGTTTTCTTTTAGTCCAGTCATAATGCTGTAAATCAAGTTCTGGTGAAGGTGCATTTTTGGACCCCCACTATTGGATACTCCACAGACTTTTATTGGAATAAAGTTTTATCTGTTCAGGCACTTCAGATCTAGGATAGGATTAAAATCGCTCTCGGCTTTCAGAATCATGAACAGGTTGCAGTAAATACCTGGAAACCTCTCTTGTGGTGAAATGAAGTCCCGGGCTTA